CAAACCACACACTCATAATCGCAACCACACGCCTCTTCTCAGCCCAATCAGACAATCCATGCCTCCTACAGCCTTCTCAAACCTCAGATATACCTGAAGCAGTACGCCCCAAAACAGGCCGAGTTCGTGGACTCGTGCGCGCAGACGAAGTACGACGATGGCTGCTTGGTTACTGAAGGAAAGCTTGTCACCTTCTTAACAAAGTTCGTCATCCCACGAGGCAGCAAACGACAGAAAGTGGAAGGCGGAGAAGGCAAGACCTTAAGTTTAGCTGGTGTAGAAGCCTACGCAAAGGCAGTCATCGATTTATACAAGCTTCAACAGACACGAAAGACGAACATCCACCCTCATCCACGCGGTAAGGCGTATAAATTTCTATTCGACACCCTAAAGAGGAAAGACGGAGAGAAAACGAACGAACTATGAAGACCGCGCTCTAGGTACTGTTTTGGACGGTAACAATATATAGGACACGTCATGCAATCCTCGCACGCGGTAAAAGTAGGCGCTTCATTGAAATCCCCGATATGCTTACCTTGGAGCTCCACGATGAACGACCGCAGCCATTTACCACTCTCATCATTATAATGAACCGCGGGAAACGAACCAACATGGTAGAATCGAATACGGGGTGGCCACGAGCTGTAAAGAAGAGATGGTATATCCGCTCGGTGCCGTTGCTTCTCATCTGTTCTGGAGATAGCAAATCGACCTCGAAGCTTTTCCCAACGCAACTCGTTACGAGAGATGATATAACATTCATCTTGTAAATGGTGCCCATGTAAACAAGGAACTTTCGTACAACACGCAGGTAACGCGCGTTAAACGGGCATACACTGCGTGCGGAATCGACTCCAGTGTGTGGACACATCAAATAGAGGATCCGGCGCAAAGTCGGCGGAGACGTACAGTACATCAGAGGAACAAATTAGACGTCTTGGCCGCTGGAACTCAGCTAGAATGAACGGGTGCTACCTAGCATCGTTGCCAATGAAGGTAATGCGAGCTCTGGCCGGCTTTCCAACAAAAGGAGGAGGATACTGGCTTCCCCGAGGGCCCGTCAGACCTAGTCAGAATCTCCAGCAAATGGTGTACCCAGAGGTTGAAACATCGGTGGCAAAACGAGCCAATAGCCAAAATAGGGAATTCCGGGGGGG